TTTCCTGACCTCTGTGTCTCCCAGCACAGCAAGGAGCCCCAGCTCTGTCACTTTTTCCTTGGCCTGGTTGAACCTGGTGAGGTTCCCATGGGCTTGATTTGTGTAATTTAGATTTCAATAATATTAAAGTTCATCACTCAGGGTTATCAAGAGTGCCTTGGCAGAGCTGGCACAATTCTCTTCCTGTCTTTGGGGTGAATTCTGGTCTCTGTTTTCTTTGCCAGGCCACATTCAAGGGCTGGATGGACATCATGTATGCAGCTGTAGATTCCAGAAAGGTAAAAAAAAACCCAAAAAACCCCACAAAAACTCCCTGCCCTTGTCTCTGTCTGCTCTTTCACTGTGGTAAAATCAGGATTAAAATGTGTTTGATGCACATATTTCATGCTGTGATTTTTTTTTCATTATTTATTTTAATTTTTTAATTATTAATTATTATTTTTATTTTATTATTTATTATTTATCATTATTATTATTACTATCATTATTTTTATTTTTATTTTTATTTTTATTTTTATTTATTTATTTATTTATTTATTTATTATTTTTTAAAATTGATTTTCTTGTCCTGCCCTGACTGCAGGTTTGAAACAACCATGACTGTGCCAGGAAAATGCAAAAATCTTTTTCTATTTTTTGACCCTTTTGGTCCTACACCTTCAAAAAGAATAATTTGGAAACAAAAGCAATCTCATCATCTCGTTTTACCTGCATTCCTGATGCCTTTGAAATGTCATTTATTGCTCTTTTTCTCTCCCCTTCAGCAAGAAGAGCAGCCCAAGTACGAGGACAACATTTACATGTACATTTATTTTGTTATCTTCATCATCTTCGGCTCCTTTTTCACCCTGAACTTGTTCATTGGTGTCATCATCGACAACTTCAACCAACAAAAGAAAAAGATAAGTGATCTGTGTTTGCTGATCTGCAAAATAAAATCGTTTTTGGGGGGGTGGGGGGGGTCACAAAATTCCTTTTTTTTTTTTTTTTTTGGAGCTCTTGGTGCCTCACAGGAATGGCTGAGCACAA